GCCCAGCAAGCACGAGAGATTGAAAAGCTTCAAGGTGAAATGGAGGAAAAGAAGTGCCGAGAAGCTGAAAACGAGCATCAGCTAGCGAAGGAGAAAGAAGAGCGGCAACTACTTGAGCAAAAGATTAAAGAGGAGGAGGAACAACATCGAGTTCTGCAACAGAAGCTTGAAGATGAGCAACAGCAATTACGACAACTCCAGTTGGAAGCTGTGGAGAAGGAAGTGCACCGCCGCTTTATACAGGCACAAGGACAGGAAGAGGGAAATGGTCACCATGATGCTGATCCTGCAGCGCCTTCTCAAGCCCCTTCAGTTGGTAAAACACGTCGAAAGGTGATGAAGAAAGAGGCAGTAGACTTGATCAAGACGTTGGTCCAGCAGCAGCTTGGGGAGACTCTACGTGATCACGACGCCAAGATGGATGAGCTCCAACGTATGGTTACAAGGCTACAAACGGTAGTGCGGAAACAGACTGCCATGCTGGAAGATTCCACAGACCAACTCATGAATCTGCAGTTGAAGCAGCAGCCCATGCCTCCAAGGAGCAGTGACGCAGGAGGTGGCTCGTTCCTCCCAAGAATCACAGGACAATCCTCCGTTCCACGTCAGCCTATTGCCCCGTCAGGTCTGCGTGCCCCAAGGCCTGTGATGCTGTCGAAATTACCAGTTTTAGCCAGCGGAGGAAGGAGGCCCAGCTACAACCAGCAGAAGCTTAAGAACATCTCCAGTGGTAGGTCTCAACCGCAGTTTTAACCTAAAGTAGTCCGTTAAAGTCTTGGAAGAGTTTTATCGCTCCCACCCGTAGGTCCTGTTGATGGTTTTAACTTCGTGTACTGGTATCTATAATTTGGCCCCGCGGAGCAGTATGGTAAAAGTTTTAACGTAAAACAAGACTCGTACATTTGATGGATGAGTTATCGCGTCTTGGCGATCGTTACGGTCAACCAGAAGCTTTTACTGTAAAATAATACAAAACGTAGTACTTATTAGCTTCGAAGTACTTACTAAGTATTAGCGACGGAAAACCTTGCATACTTCAAAAGAAATCGCATTATAGCACGATCTACATATTGTCGAGAATCTCTATACAGAAAGGTTTTTTTTTTTTACAGCTTTGACTTGAGTTTAGTAGGTCAGAACTAATATAGAGATTAACGAAAGGGTTCATTTTTAATTTATCGGTTCATTCATATCTCCTAGAAACGAAAGTGATGGCTGCGCGGCGCAGTGTTCTCAACGGAACTTCGGCCTGGGAGCGAGAGGAGAAAACAAGTCAGCAGCGGGACTATGCAGCCCAGCTTCAGGAACAGGTAGGCTATATGTTTTGTTGTGACGATCCCTGAAGATGACAACTTCAAAGTAGACCATTACTCTTCAATAGATTCTACAAAAGCAAGCAAGGCAGGAACAGGAAAAAGCGCGCAGGCAGCAAGAGCAACACGAAGAATTGAAAATGCTGGTGCGATATTGCATTATTACTGCGTTTCAGTTGTTGTTACATTTGCACACTCATTTGCGTGAAAGGAACGTGAGAGAGCTGCAGCAACTCGCAAGCGGCAACCGCATCAAGAACAAAAGACTACAACTGAGTCTTCACTACCAGCGCCGTCCCCCCAACGAGTAATGACAATGCCTCAAATGCCGATAGGAGACTCACAGCAACATGGGGCTCCTATGGTGTCCCCATTAAAGTCTGTCGGTGCTGATCCAGGCACTGGAACCACCGCAGGAGGGCTTTCGACCGAATCATCATTACCTGCGCCAAACGTCGGGTCCGAGGCCTATATGCCCGCGTTCAGCTCTGCACCTTCAGTTTTTGAGTCGATTCTTCGGGAGCCTGGAATCGGTGCTCGATCAATCACATTTTACGAGGATTTAACAGCGCTCCACAAACTTGCTGCTGAGGTTTGTAAGATGAGCTTGGGTACATCAGTTAATATGGAATTTTACACGGTGAGTATTTCTCGTGTTGTGCGAATTTGTGCAGTTGGATTTGTCAGCGAAGCAAAGACGAACAGAGGCTCAGGTCTGTATCCTCTTCCTAGTTTACCAGCATGAAGTTTAACGTGAGGAATACCCTTATCGGTGTAGAATCACTACGTTAAACCGAACTTCCTTTGTCAACAAGAGGTTTCAACGGCACCAGCTACCATCTCGCCAACTGCTTCACACCCCCCTGACAGATTAAGTGATGACATGGTTAGTACAAGCTGGCTGGACTTCAAACCGAGAAAATATTGTTCTCATTGTGTTTTTCTGCAGATAATGCAAAAAGACATTCAGCTAAATGACAACCATCCCGCAATCTCTCAAACAACAATACGGTAAGTGTCTTCTACAAGTAAAAAAAAAGAGCAGAACCATCTTGACAACTTATTGCACAGATCAAACCTCGACGGCCTGCGCGGTGAAAGTGTGCTACTGCCACTGACTACAAGTAAACTATCGCCAAGCTTTTCTCATTCGAAGAAGGTATCCCGTCTGAGTGCGTCTCCACACCGCCAATTCGTTGCTTCAATGGAGACCGAAGATGACATGGCTAGCATGGGAGCTCTGGATAACAGCAGCGAGATGCTGCGCTTTACAGCCGCTAAGTCTTGAGAGCTGTTAGGGATAAATCTTGAGAAAAAATAGTTCTCTACAGTTGTGTTTATTATTTTTTTTATGAATATCGCTGCTTGCAATTTATCATGTGCTATTTCGACTGGGATGTCAAATTGCCCAGGACACATACGGCATCTCTCTTCATTACGAAGGCCGGGACGACACTGCCTCCACAATCGGATCTATAGAATCACAAACGAATGTTAGCATTAACCTAATCAGACTTCAAGAATCACGGAGCTTTCCACGTACCTCAATCCTTCCCACCGCCACTCGCCCACAATGGCCCCACACGATTCTCTTGGACAGCGAATTTCTCCCTCGGGACGTGCAGTTGCTTGATCAATCGTCCACAATTGAGGGTCTACAAACCACTGCTTGCAGTTATTCAAGGTCGTCAGGAAAGCTGCGTCTTCGTCTAGTAGTGCTGTCATTTGGTCACTCGTTGTTCCTCCACTTGTCGGCGTTGAATTGTTCTTGCTGATGTCGACAAGTTGCTGGATATTTCGATTCCACTCCACTGCATTTCGCTTTAGGAACACCAAATGTTCCGATGTGTAGCCAATCTCGGATAATTTAGCCTCCTCGGCTCGAGAAGATGCCAACACTGCGTGCTTGTGGAGTTCCGATACCCCAGTGCGAACCTGAAGCTGGCCATGCGATCTCTTGTCCTCAATTGCTGCCTTTGCACTGCGTTTTGAGCTTTTGAAGGAGGTCAGAGAGCGCCACAATCCACTTCCAGATTTCTTTCTAGACTCGCCACTTAGTTTATTCGGTGACGGAACCACAGAGCTCGTGCGCTTGTTCTCCTCTGTAGCGGGTCGTCGTGAAGGCTGCAGAACTTGCAAACCGGTTCCAGAATCCTCGTCAGAATCAAAACTTGGCATCGATAGTACCGAAGACGCGCTCTTCCGTCTGCCTGAAGAAGTATCGCCTGTATGCGAGCCACTCCCCATCGTTACACTGGGGCTGTGAGGCCTCAACCGTAGCTTGGAAAGCAGTGGCTTTTTCGTCATAGTCGCGACAACTTGCTGCTCTCCGACCGAGATGTGTGACGCTGTGTTGTCCATGGATTCAGCACTAGTTTGTCCTCGCAAAACCCCCAGGAAGCGAGTGTTATGGCCGTCACGACAGGACAGTTTTGCGATGTCGTGGTGATGCACAATGGCACCAGCACAGAACAGATTCTCTCCACACTGTTGACAGCCGAACATAGTCCCCATGGAGCGTAACGCTGGAATAAAAGAGGATGGTGGAGTCTCCCCTGCCGTCCCTTTCGAGCACTCAGCAGCTGCAGGCATCGAAAGACAAAACCCACACGGCACTCGCTCGCCTATCATACCGCGATCATCACATCCAGACGCCAACATCTCGATCGAGGACTGTTTCTTCAACAACGGAGGCGACCGGTTTGATGCTTGCTGAGACTGTCGACGCTTCTTGGCTACCTCGTTAACCAGCTCGCCGTTCTCGTGCTGTTGAGCCAAGCGAGTCAATCGAGCTGTGAGAAGATGCTGGTTTGCAACAAACACGTTGCCATGAGCAGTCTCGAGACACTTGAGCTGCGCCTCGAAGCCAGCATTTAGACTCACAACAGGTCGCAGTGTCTTGACGTGTGCCGAGATATCCAAGTAGGACACTTGCTGCTTCATCATCAGGAACGCCATCGCGACCGCTGGAGACCTCGAGCGTCCGCCAGCGCAGTGGATAAGAACGCCACCGTTCTTTAGCCCAGCGTCGATGAATACTGCCGCAATCGGGAGACAACTCAGCAAGCTTGCGTACTCCTTATCGCGAATACTGAGACTCAAGTACGTGAAATCCTCTGGAAAAGTCGCATAGCTGCCAGCGAGGTTGAGTATGTGTGAGACCTTGTAAGACTTGAGTGTGTCGACGTTGAAAGCCGCGTGGATGGAGCCCACGAACAGACCGGTGGCGACCTCCACTGGAACGTTGTCTTGTACGATCGCAGTCTGCAGTCGAAGTCCAGGAGCCTTACGCATCGACATTGGCAACTGATACTACAGTTTAGCCTTGTTGTTGTTCGCAACTTGATCGATTGTAAGCAGGCAGAGATGCTGGTTAGTAGAGACACCATCGTCTTCGGGATCTCGATGAAAATAGCATCGTCTGGCTTCTGGGCGTTCTTGCCGTCCAGGAATGGCATGCTGTTCCTCAGGAAGTATACGGTTGAACCTACATGGTGACTATCGAGAAAGGGTACCAGGCAGTTTTAATTTTTAACAGATAAGATGGCTCATCGTAATGTTCAAGTACGTGAGGTGGTCCACGATACTGGTACAGCTAAAAGGTGAGCAGATATTGGAGCACGTCGGGTCTTCACCGTCCGTTTGGCTGCAGGTGCGATAGCTTGATGAGAACTCGTCGTAAAAAATCTACAGCAAAGAACGAATAAGGTCAATAATTGTATCTTGCCTCTATAGAAAAAACGTGCCAACCTCTTCTGATGTGTGTTCAAACCCTGTCCACGTAGGTGGGAGGTGCGGTACTGCATCTTGGAAGTGGGTCACGCGATACACTTCCATACTGGCATTGCGTAGTCTTCCACTGAAATTGGTATTGCCGACTCGAGGATTCCCGAAGGTGTACAACGCATCCACAGGAATCTTCTCAATGTATTCAAGCTCAAAGGCGCAGATGGCAGCAACGGCCCCTCCTAGTGAGTGGCCTGTGACCATCAGCGATGCATGCGGATGTTCCTTCCGGAGCTTGTGCAGCGTGTCTAAGACTTGTGTGGCCACGGATCGATAGGCCCAATAAAAGCCTTGGTGTACCTTTACGCCGGGGTATTGCGCGTAGGCTCGTCTCTTGAGGAAAGTGAGGTTGTCCAGCCAATTGGTGACGTCCATGCTGCCTCGGAAGGCGACCACTAATGCGTCATAGAGCTGCGAATAGCCCACGAGACCCTGAAAATTGTCCTTGGCGTCCTCTACCACCTTCACGCCCTCTAGTGATGGGACGAACGCGCATGGCTGGCAGTTCCAGTGGATGATGTGCTGCTCCTGGCAGTATGAGATCGACGTCACATGCGCCAGATACAGCGCTGTGGTTTCGTTGTACTTGGAATTAACACTGGGAGCGGGTGGGGGTGATGAAGCCGGAGGCGGTTGCTGTTGTGCGTGCGGCACTTGGTCCAAGGGGAAGGTGGGCTGCCACACGGAGGAGGAGGTGGTCGAGGCGAGCGACTGCAGCAGCAGAAGCGCACAGAGGAGTCGATGCATGAGATTCTGATGTGAAGAGTTGTTCTTCGGAAGATACCCACTTAATTTACCCTTTACAAAGAGGTAAAGTATGAGAGTATAATTTACGAACAGCGAGAGTATCTTGACTCAAGATACTCTCGCTGTTGAAGGTTCTTGAGGTGGCGACGGCTCGTCTGACGAGAGCACCATGGCGCTGATCCAAGTTGGAAGTTCCAACGCAGGCATCTCGAGTGCAAGGACTCATTAATCGAATGAGCCGTGAACGACAAATATTTGATCTCCTTCTTGATCAGTGACCATTTGCGGAATCGAGTTGAGCTCGTGTGGTCACACACTGCACAAGGTGGCAACAAGCAGATATTGGCCTACGACGTCGACTAAGATTTCATTCGTGTTCGATGCGGTGCCCCAAGTCCGGCATCCGTTGGACAAAAAACGTTAGCATGCTGAGCATACCGAAAGCGGCAACACTGGACCCCTAAATGGTCAAGACAACAAGCCAAAAGCTTCAAGCTCTCCAGATGTGAGTCTCGGTGAATAATCGCATCGTGGTTCACCTTTCACCTTACAGCACATCGAACACGTCCCCTTGTTGTAATCTTTTTCGGGTCGACACGGAAACCGCGCCAACAAAAACACATTCAAAGGTCCAACGCTACAAGCACTAGTAGTATCACCCGTTGCATCTTGTGTCGTTAGTGTGACGGAAAGGAATCTGAAGACCGTACTGATAAGGATAAGGCATCAGGAGCTCACAATGCCGTGTTTTTGCTTGCGTAAATCTCGTTTTCAGGACTTGGTGACAGCGGTTATCCTTCTGAATAATGCGTAATGTTACGTCGGCGCTTAAAGTCAAGCACAGAGATGGCTAGTCGCGACCTTTGTCCCGGATAGCGCACAGCAGTGCCCTCTGATGTCAAAGAGCTTCACCAGCAAGGACGCGTTTCTAGGATTTGTTTTAACTGCAACCGGGACGAACCAGCGCTCCATAACAATGTTGATCCGCCTTCAGCTGCCTTATAGGTGTTAGATTCGGGAGCCACGCCCGCCTGATGTCTCCAACTTATTTGCACTGGAAGAAAGACGCTGTTCGGTCTCCTCTGGGAGACGAGCGAAGTCAATAATACCTTCTCCGTTCCGCAAGAAACGCTCGTGAAGCTATTTTTCTTCAAGCTGACGCAGCCTGCCAAATATCTTAATCTTAATGTGCTTGATCACGTCTCCTGTTGCTCTTCTAGTATGTGCAGATGCACAAGCGGCATACTACTGATGGCTATCGCGGCTGGCGCTACCTCCCTAAGTCCACTTGAGGAGTATGGAAACATCGTCCATCCAATTTAGCATCTTCTCTCTTTCCAAAATGCGCGTGAAAACCGTCGCAACAGAAAAACGATGCACAGCGTTGCCATAAATTTCACTTGACTTCACTAAGAAATACTGAGCACTAGTCTTTTCAAAAAAGCCGGCACTTCCCCACATCTTGAAAGGAGCGTTGTCGCAGCAGGAGCGAGGACTGCCCGTACGCGGCGCGCAGGCAGTTCGGGGCAATACGAGGAACACACAGGCAGCAGCAATAGCAGTAGATCAGGATCGAGCGCAGCCATGGCAGACGTCGTGTCCGCGTTCCTGCCGCCGCAGGACATCCATCCTAACAACGCCGTGTTCGCCGCTCGCAGTCTGCCACGTCCGCTCACGTGGCAACGGCGCGAGCACATGATGCACCGCCGTACGATCCTCACGCGTATCGGACAGCTGCTAGTACGCAACGCACAGCTCGTGCTTAGTCAGCAGGGAGACGCCGTCACGGGCGGCACAGACCTCAGCAAGACGTGGGTTCTGGCACGCAAGCTGGAGGTTCTCATGTTCATCCACTCGGCGTCGCTGCTCGAATACGTTAATATGGACAGTCTGGCACGCCGCGTGCAGGCGTTGACGGCTGGTATCGTGAACAAGAAGATCCGTCGAGCCACAACTGTGATGCCGCCTAACGAGGCCGGTATAACTCCAATGATGCCGCCACAAACAGCAGTTGGAGCTGGCAATATCGCTGCACGTGTGCGCTGTCCACCGACGGTGTCGCCTGTGGTCCATCCAGCTCCAACCCCACAGATAGCAGCACAAACATTCAGTCCGTCGTCGACAGGCTCCGCTACGCCGCCAGTGGCTTCTGCAGGTGGCAGCGTCCGCCCACTCCCGCGCATCTCGCATCTGATTCACAAGCGCAGTATCGACGATACGGACTGCGATCATGTGGACGATATGGACGCTCGTAAGCGGATGCGCATCGCATTGATGCCAGAGCAGGAGCCCGAGACGGAGCTGGAGGACAAGCGTAAACCTAGTGAACTGGGCATTCTATTGTTCCGTGGCTACGAGGAACTAAGCAAGATCATCTGGAGCTACGTGGATGGCGTGCAGATCATGCGTTCGCGTGGTGTCTGCCGTATTGCCGTCGCCCTGGCCCCACTATTTGTGACGTCGCTGCAGTTGAGCTGCAATGCCGTGCAAAGGGCGCTTGCTACACGCACTGGAGGGGATGCATGTATCTTACGTGAATGTATCCATCTTCGTCACTTGGAAATTGTATCGCTGTCGGCAGGAATGACGTTCGGGAAGCTCTCAATGCGCGCTACCAATTGTCCGCAGCGGTTCGTGGTAACACACGATGATCACGAGCAGATTGTGGTGTCCATGGCGGAGCAGATGCGTCGGAATACGTTCCCAGGACTCTCACGTCTGAGTATCACGTGCTTATTCACGAACGAGGAGGCTGATGGAGAAGCCGACGTCCTGTTGAACGCGTTGATGCTTGGCTGCTGTCCGAGTATCGAGGAGCTGTGTCTGCCTGGCAACAGTTTCGGTGACTATGGAGCGACTAAAGTGGCGCAGATGCTGCGCTCTCAGGTGTGTCCGAAGCTCACGAGACTAGATTTGCGGCGTAACTTTATTGGGGAGGACGGGATTCGCAGCTTGTGCCACGCACTGGCCGATGGCTGCGCGCCCAACCTCACGGAGCTGTGCTTGGGCGGCAATACAATCACAGACTCGAGTTTCCATCACGTGTTATATGCGATGGAGAGTCGACAGTTAAAGAAATTGCGCTTCTTGGGGATCGAGATGAATTATCTGACTGCGACTAGTATGGAGATGTTGGGACGGACAGTGGGGAAGTTGGTGTGTCCCGTGCTCTCGCAGATCTCGTATAGTGACAACAGTGTGGACAATGACTCAGCCAAGAGGCTGATCGCGACGGCCGTGTACCAAGAGCGTGTGCGGCAGGCCAAGCGTCAGCAGCGGATCCGAGATGGCACCATCAGCGAGGACGAGAGCTCTGGGGACGAGCAGCTCTCCGACGAGGAAATGGTGTGAAGAGTGTTTGTAGATGTCAGCGACGATGAGTGGGGAGAGTCTCTGCTAGAGCTTGGACTGTCTGTCGCCACTATTTAACAAGAGGGAAGGAGCGGAACCCCATAATTTATACATCAAGCCTCTTTCAGTGTAACTCTATTAGTTCTAGCAGGCAGTTTGCAGGTTTGTCAGCTCAGCGTCGGCGAAGCGAACAGGTTCGTTCCAGTTGGGGGCGTTGGGGTCGAGGGTGAACACGATGAGTTGCAGTTCCCGGTTTGAAGTCACATGGGCAGGTCGCGGCGTAGGAAGGAACGTGTCGTCTGGGATGCGTTCAAATCGGAAACCAAATGCTACTGCTTCCTTGAAAAGCAGATCTTCTGTCGACTGCGCGCGGCACACGAAGCCGCAGCAGAACTGGGTTTCTAACGGGTTGTTCGAGCGTAGCAGTAAGTATTTGATGGTCTGCAGAATGGGCTTGACGAGCATTGGCCAGCACACGACGTCAGAACCGATGAGCACGTCCACGGGGTACGGGAATGCGTGTTCGAAGGCCTCGACGCTCTTGTGGTCTCCCCACAGCAGAGGCAACGCCTGCACTTTGCTGGAGTCGGCGTTGGTCTCTGCGTTCTCTTCCAGCAGCTCTAGCACGATATCATTGCCGTCCGTTAAGGCGGTGTGGGATCTATAAATCGCAAGAAGATAAGCAGCCCCCAGGTCAAGTATACAAAACAAGACAAGTTGCAGAGGAAAGTGAAGACGCACGCGAACTGCGAGGCGACGAGGCCGCTGAGACCCGCACCGGCGCCAAGCTCCACGACATTCTTGCCGGCAATTTCGTCCCGATGCGCTACGAGATACCAGGCTAGGAAGGCGGAGACTGGCCACACCACTTGGCCCGTGAGGTCGTGGTCGGTGGATGCGGCGTGGGAGGACAGCAGTTTCTGCTTAACCACGCCGAAGTCAAACTCCTGCGACTCGTAGCTGAATATACAGGAAAGTCAGCGCTACGGAAGAGGTGGTAGTACGACAGGGTCAACGCACTTGGGACTCACTCGCGGTTCACGAACAGGTCGGTGCTAAAGAAGTCCTCATAGTCGCTGGTCATTTTGCAACAACAAAAAATAAGATCAAAAGTGCGCATTGGTTTCGGCCCACTTTTGATCTTTTTTACACTACAAATAGTTAAGGAGATTTTTCCAGTTGTAGAGAAGTTTTGTCTACGGCTTTTCAGCAATAACACAGTTTAAGAGCGACAACACAGGTTTTAGAAATATGATTTGCTATTTGTGACGACTTGGAAATATAATCAGTGATAGCACAAATATTGTGCCTTTATTCTACAATTTGCGCCTATAATTCCCATCGATACGGACACCTCAGGCAAATAACGATAATTCGCGTGCGGTCCACCACAGCCTTTCGACGCCACTGGCGGTAACGCGTGCGAGAGCTGCCGCAGTTGCGGCATTCAAACAGATCCGACTCGAAGCCTTCTGCCTCTCGGCCATCCCGCATCACCTCGTGTGTGCGCTTCTTGATCCACTCCTTGCGCTGACGAGCCAGTTGTGGGTTAGCCATGTCGGGCGCGCTCATACGCACAAGACTGTGCGACGGTAGCTCGCCAGACAGCAGTCGGTTGCGCAGGTCGACATTGCGAGAATCCTTTAGATTAAATAGTAGCGTCCTAGCCTTGTGCGCGTACGCTTTTGTCAACGAGTAGCTGCAGTAACTAGAGTCAAATCGCTATACAACACCATCCAATCGCGCATTTCACCCACCTTTGCCCGTAGGCAGCATACAGTTCGGCCTCCACGTCCAGAGCCACCGCAAGAGCGTTTGTGTCCAAGGGACGCAGAATGTCCGCGAGTCTTGACGAAAAGCGACGACGGGCGACTGCAATACTTGCGAGACTCCAGGACTTACACACACGTCCGACTTGACCGAAGCTGATAATGAGAGCGAGCACCTCTTGCGGCAAAGTCGCAGCAAGCGACGACCGAGCCAAAGCTGTCTCCTTCGTCTGCTCACTTGCAGCCGCCGGCTTCTCCTCTAATTCCACTTTGGATTCGTATACCACACCCGCAGTACTCCCAGTCCCTAGTAGCACATGCGTAAAACAAATCGATTCCATAAGCTACATCCAACCGTCTAATGTATCAACTCAATCCCCTGTCGTAGTGGATACCTTCGAGGTCCAGCTCCTCTTCGAGCTCCAGCGCCCACGCATCGTCTTCCTCCTCCTCGTCGCGTCTCCGCCCAATAGGCGTCTCCATCTCGGGAATAAATTATGCAGCAAAAGCCCCCGCTATAGCTCGTTTCTCCTCAAAGTCTCTTTTCCGTCGTAGGCGTCCGCTTGGCAATTGAGCTCCATCGTGCTAATGAAGCGATTTGTGTGCATCACACCATCTCTGGCTTTACAGTCACATTCAACTCGTGGCAACAACGTCTTGTGACTCTATCCATTTGATCCACGCGGCAAAGAGTCATAACTTGAGCGAGATGCGGCAGCGCGCCGTCAAGAGCGACGTGGACGACGGAGGTCTGGGCGATGAAGAGAGCAGCGTGACTCGCTCAGCGCGCCGTGTGCTGAAGAAAGTGGATGTGTATCCAAAGATGCACCGCGAGTTTAAAGTGCAGACAGAATTCGGTGCCACTGTCTCTATTGTTGCAGGAATCATTATGGCCATCCTCTTCCTGTCCGAATTGAGCGCCTATTTGAGCATCAACACACACGAGCACATGGTCGTGGACTCAACACTAGGCGAGAAGCTGCAGGTGAATCTGGACGTGAGTTTTCTGGCCATCAACTGCCGCGACGCGCATATCAACGCCATGGACGTGGCCGGTGAGCTGCAGGTGAACATGCACCAGACGGTGGTCAAGACGAGGCTAGACGCCAATGGCCGCTCTATCTCTACGACCACGGACGAGCTCGCTAAAACAGATCTACCTGCCGGATACTGCGGGAGTTGCTACGGAGCCAGACATCCGGCGGGCAAAGAGTGCTGCAACACGTGCGAGGAGGTGAAGGAGGCGTTTATTCATAGCGATCTGTCGCTCGAAGAGGCCGAGCAGAAGGATCAGTGTGTGCGTGAGAGTATTGAGACCGAGAAGCTTGCGCAGGACGGAGAAGGCTGCCGCTTCACGGGCAAAATGTTTGTCAACCGAGTGGCCGGCAACTTCCACGTTGCACTTGGACGCACATTCCATCGTCAGGGACGACTGGTGCATCAGTTCCGACCTGGACAGGAGCACACGTACAACTCGAGTCACATTATTCACAGTCTGTCCTTTGGTGAGCCCATACCTGGTGCCTCCAGTCCACTCGATGGCGTCTCGAAGATCGCGGTGCAGTGTAAGTGAGCGTATAAGTTTGATACATTTATATGTTGACTAACTTGGCTATCGGTGTCTGTAGCTGGCGGTGTGTTCCAGTACTACCTCAAGATTGTGCCTACGATCTACAGCGACATCGACGAGAACGCAATCCACTCGTACCAGGTGCGTCTATTAACCTTTTCGTGCTTTGAGTTATTGAGAGTTAACCTTTCTTTCGTTATGGCAGTTCTCCGTGACCCAACAGGGCAACTACTTGAATCCGCGAGGTCAGATGACGTCGCTTCCAGGTAAATAGATCCACTAGCAGCTTTCAGCTCATACTCAGAGCTCTAACAGTATGCTCGTGCTGCAGGGACTTTCTTCGTGTTCGATCTGTCCCCGTTCATGGTGAAGGTAGAGAACGACCGGGTGCCATTCACCCACTTCCTGACAAAGATCTGCGCCATTGTCGGTGGTGTTATCTCTGTACGTTTTCCCTGTTTTAATACCTTAATAAGCTCTCTCGACTGACTTATCCATTGCCGTGTCCTCAGATTGCGGGCTTTGTGGACTCGTTCATGTACAACTCGCTGCACGTTCGCCGTCGCGTTTCAAGCAAGTGATCCAATTTCCCAGCCTGCGCTGTCACTGCAGCAGAAGTACATGCGGCCATAGACTGTCGATCCGTCAAGAGAAACCCCATTGAATCCATCTTGGTGTCTAAAATACATGACCTTCATTCTTATTCACTTGAGTTTAGTATTGTTGGTGTCCAAAAATGGGCGAAGAGGACGTACGCAATGCCGCCGAGCGCCTGCGGAAGCTGCTGCGAGCCGCTCAATACCCGCAGCTCAGCGCGCTGCGTCTCGAGGCTGGAGACGTGGCGGATCTGCTGCGAGTGCTGCACTTCGTGCTGCTGGACTCGTCGCGCGCTGTGGCACAGTTCCTGGTTGACAAAGGCTACGATCTGTATGGGAAGACGGATGCGCGCTTCGTGGAGAGCGCCTTCCGCCTGCTGCGCAACGAGTTCCGCTACTTCCCGTCGCTGAGTGTGACCCAGTTCCTGTCCAAGCATTTTGTAGCCCGTAGACTCGCGATCGTAGCGGATGCGGCAGCAGCAGTGGCGCAAAAGCGACAGGAGCTGCAGAGGCTGAAGCGCAGGGAGGAAGCCGTGTGGTCCCAACCCAAGGAAAGGAACATAAACATTAAGCCATCAGTTGAGAACCACGTGCTGCCCACTGCAGTGACCAACCACGCAGCCAGTATCCTGCAGCATCTCAAGGTGCAGAGTAAAGCTACTGGGCAGACTCGACGAGTGCGACGAGCGTCGAGTGAGACGCCCATGCAGATCAGTGGAGCAGGACAGGATAGAGAGACGATGGCAGCGCCACCAGCACCAGTATTTACAGGACGGCAGGTTGATGCCCATGTACGTGGAGTGAGGAGGAGCTCCAGAGAGGTTAGGACTGACTTGTGTTATCCTGGTGCTTCAGACGGCAGTGCAGTTTGCAAGTGAAAAAGTATGTGAAGAGGCCTTCGTTGTAGATGATACCAGGCCATCGTCACCACAGCCGAAGCCATGTAGTTGCTCTCAAGATTCAGAAAAATTGGCGACGGCAATCGCAGGTCTCAGTCGTCAACTCAGTGAAATGACTAGTGCACTCATGGGCAAGATAACTAGCGTGGAAGCTCGTCTTGGACGGCTAGAAGACCAGATGCACGGCGTTCAAGCAGCAGTCGAAGAGCAGCGCAAGGTAGTATGGGAAATGAATACTACTGGCAGCAGGCGAATGGTGAGTGACACAGCGACTCGGAGCGATGATGAACGGCCCATGACGAAGTCAAAGACGCTGGATATCGAGGCTCCCTGCGCTTGGCCTCCTCAACCGTCCGTCTTTGAAAGGTATTAACTTTCTAACAAGACATCGGCGTGGCGGCGCTAATGAACAACACTAGAACAAAAGCTTCATTTATTTACTCATTTCTGTCAGCGTAAGTGTGTTATGTGGTACCAAAAATGGTCACTACAAGGAACATCTACTTGTGCCCTACTCGTCCCAATGGCGCGGTTCTTGAGCGTACGCTGAGTAAGCGCGCGGCAGCTTCACACTGTAACATGAGTCATAGACCCATGGGCGGCTTCCGGAGAACGCGTTGCTAGCCTCCTCGTTGGCAGCGGCAACCAACTCGCGTTCTCGTGCAGCGTATTGCGAAAGTTGAGCTTTGCCCCATCCATTCGGTCGCTCTGCGAGCACATTGTGAATTGCACGTCGCTCAAGCAGCGTGAGCCTCTCAAACGATTCCGTAGACAGATGCTCTGAAGGTAATTGACGCAGAGATTTGTTGTCTGCGCGCAGCACCATGAGGACAGGAGAAGTTTTGAACCGCCACGCCAGCTCCGGCGTCGTTATCTTCTCCAGTTCAACGTCATTCAGAGTAGCAACGTCAACTGGTATCACTCGGCGGATCTGCCAAGCTGCAGCCGCGTTGACGAGTCTGTTGGTCTCGCTCCAAAGCATTGGATCCTCTAGAGCACCAGATTGGTTATTGGCAGCGGGAGTACAAGGCTGAAGACGAATCGGTGATATGCCGATCCATGACACAGGAGTAAGTGCCGATCTCCTAGTACCGTCCTTGCCCACGCAGTGGACCCGGTCGACGTACGCTTCGTCATTGTGACTCCGTTTCAGGCAGCCCCCGAAGACGCGTGCGAACCAGCTACGTACGTCTGTTCCGATCATATTGACAATGCATACAATGCAGTGCGGTGAGTTAGAATAGAGAATGACCGAGCAAGAGCACGGGGCTTCACTCTCATTGATAGATGGAGAGGGGGTAGAACTTCCATGTTGAAGTGACAATGCGAGATGGCTACACAAATCCCTTGCATTTCCGTTTCTGAATCTCCGTCAATCTATCTGGGGCAGGTACTCTTCAATCTGCCGCCAAGAACGCAAGTCAAAGAGCTTCCAGTCCAGGCAATAAATAACCGAGCGCATGAGTCTCCACTACACCAAGAGTGGGGCGCTGGATATGCGGTACAGCAGCTCACGTGCCGCGGTCGCTTCAGGGTATTCCGGGGGAGGTGGGGGCTACTCGAGCTACAGCGGGGGAGGAGGTAGTCGCAGCAGCGGATCGACGTCGTCAGATCTCCATTATACCAAGAGTGGTGCTCTGGACATGCGCTACAATAGTTCGCATGCCGCCCTGGCCTCTGGATTCTCTGGCAGCTCTTCCTCCTACTCGAAGCCTCGAAGCAGCAGTCGCTCCTCCGCCTCCGAACTCCACTACACCAAGAGCGGCGCGTTGGACATGCGCTATGCCAGTTCTCATGCTGCAGTGGCACAAGCAGCAGCAGATCCGTCATCCAGACCGTCTGACAGCAACTTGCACTACACGAAGAGTGGGGCACTGGACATGCGATACAAGAGCTCACAGGCAGTTGCGCAGCAGCTCAACAAGAGCGCTGTGCCTCCTCCAGCGCCGTCAAGTAGTGACCTTCACTACACAAAGAGTGGGGCACTCGATATGCGCTATAAATCCTCCCGTGAGGTCGTCCAGAGGATGGAGAAGATGGGTCTGAACTCTGCCAATAATGGCACCAAAACTAAGAGCAAGAATACTGCTAAGCCCCAACGCCGACTGGAGGGCGTTCCACGCGACTTACCCGTGACAAAGTCCGGTATGCCAGACTTACGCACCTCCAAAGCTAAGCAGTGGGTCCAGAGCCAAGCTCAGCACTGGCATCCAGCTGATGCTCTACCAGAGTGGGTGCCATGCCTTAAGGATGGATCTCCTGACATGACTAAGGCCGTCTCACGCCACTTTATCGGTGGATCGCCAGCCTTGCTCCAACAGGATAAACGAGACGACTACTATGAGAACAAACTTCGTAACGATCGCCTCTTCGAGCAGCTTTTGCAGCAACAACGACAGCAGCCAGTGGAACTGGTCTCCGAGCCAGAACCTGTTCGTGCCACAGCTCAGCTTCGTGACGCGTTCGCCAGTATTGACGAGGATGCCGGAGACTCCTTCATGCCCACGAGCAACGTCACTCAACTTGACTTCACTAACGACCTCAAGATCGACGAAGATGCTGAGCTATTGGGTCAAGGAGGATTCGGGTGTGTGTACCAGGGCATCTGGAACGAGAAGAAAGTGGCAATCAAGAAACTGCACGCTGCCAAACTCGCCAAGAAGGAACGCAAGATGTTCGTCCGTGAGACGCTCATCCTCGGTATGCTCGGAGACCATCCAAACATCGTCCAGCTTTATGGATACACGCTCAACCCTGTCAGTTTGGTGATGGAGTATGTATCGAAGGGCAGTCTGAGCTATTTGCTGCACTACTGTGAGGACGCGGAAGTCGAGGCCAAGATGACAGACGGACGTATCAAACTGAACATTCTACTGGGCGTCTCGTACGGCATGGCGCAGCTACACGAATGCAACGTGACCCACGGTGACCTGAAGCCACAGAACGTGTTGATCACTGAAGACTTCCACGCCAAGATCGCAGACTTTGGGCTCGCCACGTTCCGCGCCAAAGCAGCTACTTCCACGTCCTCACATATGCTCAGTACATCCAGTGACGACGGCGACGAGGCGCCTGACTTCGAGGGCATTGCTGGAGGCACAGCAGCGTACATGGCGCCGGAGCTGCTGAGCTCTAGCATGATTGCTAATGAGAAGACAGATGTCTACTCTTTTGGAGTGCTGATGAACGAGGTTCTTCATGAAGAGGAGCCGTACCAGCAGAACTTGCGTCAATTTGTCGGCAAAGGTCCGTTTGCTGCTGTTTTGTTTGCAAAGGAGGGCAACCGTCCGCAGATTCGCGACAAGAAGGTTACGCCAGAGTTGAAGTGGATCATTGAACGCTGTTGGAGTCAGAATCCTCGTGATCGTCCGACATTCGACAAAATCTCCAAGTTGCTGTCGATCTGCACCGTACCCCACGCGTGCAAGTAGATGGTGACCATGGTCTCCTTTGACGTTTCTGCCACCTTTTGGCAACCTGGATACTTTTATGAGTGCATGGAACTCGTTAAAGCGCCGTACAGATCTTTCCGATCTTGTCCGTCGGCTTGACATGAACAGAAGCCGGTATAGTTAAGGCTCGTACCACGAAGCCACTGCATAGAAAGAAAAATAAACCCCAGAAAAACAAGATAACGAAAACCAAATAAAAAGATCAGCTCCTACGAGTTGGCAAAAAAAAAAAAAACTTGAAACAGTTCCGTAATTTTTCACACTATGTATGTTGACTTCACCTCCGCTCTGCTTTATTCTCTGCTTTCTTCACATCTTCGGAGGTGGACTCAGACGACTGCTGCTCGACTGTTGCTTTCACCTTGCTTGCTGCTTCTTGATTGGCGGGTTTAATTGCAATATTTGCTTTTGAATCAAAACAGAAATTGGTAATCTCATCCGGCTCCAGCTTGCAAGGAATTGCTACTGCTTTGACATTCTTCTGTGAATCCGGTGTTGATAATCCAATCCCAGGTACGAACGGTTTTGCATCCACGCTCAGCGTTGGGCGCCGCTTTTCAACTTTAACAGTTCGCTTAATATCCACCACTGTCCACGAGTCTGTCGAGGCAGAATCAACCAGCACGTACTCATCGTCCTTGTCTTCAAAATCGACCTTAACCTCCTCTTTCACAGCCCTTGGCTTTGTCTTGCCGCCATACGCCGTACGAAGATCCATGTCCACATACAGTTGCTGTAACTCGGCACCAAGTGCATCGAACGCAGGGGTTTCTCCCATTTCAGCCAGCTTTCGCTGACATCTCCGAAGTGCCGATCCCATTTCGCTTCTAATAGTTCGAGTCACGTCGCGTGATAACCCAGTATCATCGCGCTTCTCGGCCAATAGATAGTCAGTGAACGAAGTCGATCCTCGATGTCCAGTCAACGAGTCGTCAAGGAACTTGGAGACAGCAGCACCTTTGATCTTGTTCGTAGTGGCACGTGTAAGGCACAAATTCGGCAGCTCATTGACGACCTCTTCTCGCAACATGAAGGCCATATCCTGAGCTTCCTCGTCTCCATCTCGAAACTCCAAATTCTGAATGGCATAGGCAAAGCACTGCTTCTCCAGAATATGATCCAATTCCACTGCACCCACCGTGTTTAAATCCAATTTATCTCCGTGGTACAGATCTCGGCTCCTGAACAACTTGACAATATCTCCTTCCACACTGCTCCTCAATCCTGGGTCGTTAAACACACTAGGCGCCACATATGACGTCGCGTACTGGGGGTCATGAGCTGCACAGCAGTAGTCGTACCCTATTTTGGCATTATATCTGCATGGTTCACTCGATCCTGGCATCATCCCCTGACACATTGGCAGCTCTGCCGTGACCATGCGATGCGCTGTACAGAATCCATCGCCATCAATCCCCACAGTCTGCGTACAGCGACGACCCGTAGCTGCAGCCACTGCCTCGCACTGCTTTGAGACTGGAGCGTCCAGTCGTCGGTGAAACTGGCAATAGCCTCGATCGTCCAGTCCCCATTTGATCTTACAGCGACGGCCAGTGGCACGTGCTAGACCTTTGCACTGAGCAGCGTTGGGTGCGTGATACTTGCAGTATCCGTCGAGGTTGAGACCCCACGATACGGAGCAGGGAGTTCCGCGCTTGGTGAGGCCTCGACAGGCGTTCGGGATGGCTGTGGTAGGTGGAGTAGACGCCTGAGAACGATGGTGTACGCAGTAGCCAGAGTCGTCAAGGTCCCATTTTAATTTGCAGCGCTGGCCAGAAGTGCGTGAAATGCCGAGGCATTGACGCGCATGGGGCGTGTGGTACTTGCAGAAGCTGTCCGTATTAAGGTCGAACGAGATGGGGCACGGAGCTCCTTGCTTCGTTACGCCGTGGCAGGTCGTCATTTCTGGAACCTGGAAATGAAAGAGTCTTCATCAAAGACTGTGAGAATCTGTACTACTTCTGAAGGGCTCGATGGTAAATTGGTTGTACAGATCGGATACTATCTGTTTCTTGAGGGGACTTATTCTACATGGTCAATACACTGCACGCTCTAGCACAATATAAATTAATAGTATAAGAAGATCTCAGGTTATCAATTGACAGCAGTGTCAGAGGTCACTTGAAAAATTGTACGCACCATGTTAGTTTATGGAACATCTGTGCGTACAGTAAAGGCATCATAAACGAAAATCTGACTTGTTTAAAAATGCCAAGATAAATAGTATAGAAGCTAGTGATCTACATTAAACAAAACTATGTCATACAAAGTTATAAACTTCGCTGATGGATACATAAATTGGCTGTACGCACAATTGGTGCGTACAGGTCCAATCCTTTCTTCAACTTTCTACGGTTTCGCAAGAAGAATCCTCGTTGTGGGGGCGATAAAGCACCCAGATCCTCATTCTCCATCTTGCTGAGAAGTGCTCAAGCCAAGTTGCATGACGTGTTGCCAAGGACACAGACCGAACGGTGATCCCTGCAGACGCCCCAAGGATCTCAATGCTCGAGGCTACTGCCACCAGCACTCGTGGCAGGATGGTCCCAGATGCCAAGGCATCAAGGGCGGCACTACCAGACCTTGTAAGAATCCCGCTAAGGAGGGCTACGCCTACTGCTGTGCCACCCATGATCCAGCCGAGGTACACATTCCTCCGAGCGTGCTCGACCCAGAAGGTTACTACCTCCGTGGCCGAGTGCAAGATGATGTTGTGGCCAGGTGGAAGGAACAAGATATCTACAACCGCAGGCCGTTGGATCTACGTTCATTGCTCGACCTCGACCACATTGTTGAAAAACAATGTTTTACATACGGGCTCTCCCAGCTGGATCTCCGCCAGGGCGACGATGATTTCGCTTTGGCCACGGAAGTCCTTCGGGAAAATGTCGTGAACGAGCTGGACAATCTTACTCTGACACGTTCGAGCACCAACAGAATCAAGGGAGCTGGAGTGTACCAATTTCTTGATGATTCCCGTACGGGTCATCTTGGCAACAAGACGTTTACAACTTATCTCTTGGAAGCGACGCGAGACGGGGAGACTCTCGGACGAGCTGTTACTCGTCGGATCACCCGCAACATGGGGAGAGCAATGAAGAAGTGCCAGTGGAAGTTAAGCGACGAGGGCGACACGCCAGTGCTGGATAACCTCAGCGGTCAGCTCCAGAAGCTCTTTGTCGCCATGGAGCTGCACGAACGTTAAAATCATTACCTGAGCTGGAGTTGGCTTGACACAGAACTGAAGCCAATAGTTTTAAGATCTTCTGCATAATTCGACCCATTCCAGGGTGCTGCATATACGAAAGAAAGAAACCCCAGAAAAATCGGATAACATTAAAAACAAATAAACAGACCAGTTTCAGAGCTGGCGAAAAAAAAATGATTGTTGATGCTTTCTTGTCTCCACAATATTGGACAAACTCGAAGGCAGCTACAAAGTCAGCGCACTGCAAGCACGCTGCCATTTCGGGTTTTCATCGATCAGCTCGGTGAGAGCCTTTGACAGCACACTCACCACGTTCTCAATGTGCCAAGTGTCCACCTCAAGTCCACCGATCGCCAGACGTAAGAAGTGAACACCGTCCACAACCGAGTGGATAAGGAACGCCTTGCCCGACTCGTTGACGCGACGGAGTAGAGCTTCATTGAGTTCACGACCACCGAATGCCACGTAGAAGCACACGAGACCCATCCGAGCCCTCACAAAGAGCTTGAAGCGACCATCTTTTTCCATAAGCTCTTCAGCCTGTCTAGCCAACGCAACCGACTGACGGATATGCGCACGAAGTCCAGTAGCTCCGAAGCGACGGAAGGTGAACCAGAGCTTGAGCGCTCGGAAGCGACGACCGAGTGGCACCTGCCAGTCTTTGTAGTTAAGAGCAGATTGCATGAACTCATTCTTGAGGTACTCTGGGTCCAGTGCTAGCGAGCGAATGAGAGGACGACGGTCTTTCACCCACAACAGACTCGCATCAAAACTCACGAGCAGCCACTTGTGCGTGTTAATGCAAACGGAGTCACAGCCTTCTACACCGTCCAGCCAATGCTGGTATTCGGAGCATACAGCAGCAGCTCCTCCGTAAGCTCCGTCAAGGTGAACCCACACATGTTCAGGCTGCTCTCGTGCAACAGCGACCAGCTTCCGCAACGGATCGATAGCTGTGGTGGAGGTGGTGCCAAGTGTAGGCATCAAGCAGAATGGCACTAAACCTTTAGCTCGGTCTTCCGCCATGGCACGAGCCACATCGTCAGGTGCCAGTCCGTAGTTGTCTGAGTCAGCTTTGCCTCGAATCGTGGGCACCACTCGCAGATGAGGAATGTCCAACACCATGCAGCCCTTCTCCGCAATAGCATGCGTTTGGTCTGACACGTACACAACCAGTTTGGCCGCTTTCTCTTCTCGTTCTGTGCCTTCCAATCCTTCCAACGCCGCATGACGAGCTGCAATGAGTGCACACAGCGCTGATTCACTCGCTGAGCCTTGAATGACTCCACCTCCAGGAGAACTCGTGAGGAAACACTCAGGTAGTCCCAGTAGTTTGGCCATCCAGTCGCAGACTACTTGCTCAAGTTCCGTAGCTGCTGGGGCAGAGACCCACGAGAAGCCGACGACGTCCAATGATGAGCACAAATAGTCGGCTAGTACACTGGGGTCACTACCACATATTTTGAAGTAGGCGTGGAAATTTGGAGATGCCCAGTGAGTGAGCGCAGGGAAGATGAGCTGCTCGACGTCGCGGAAGATGTCGGCGTAGCTCTGCGGGTCTTCAGGACACGCAGTAGGTAGCTGAGCTCGCAGTTCTCCGGGCTTCACTTTGGAGCGAATAGCGTACGAGGAGCTACCGGGTTCGCCGCGGTGAGGATCACGGCGCTGGAGGTTTTCGTGGTAGCGCACCAGAAGCTCCGTAAGCGCTGCAGCTGGGTGACGGATGGCTTCTGGATCTTGGACGTCCAAAGGGCGAGTAGACTCAAGCGCTCGACGACGCGCAAGGTGCTGGAAGGCAGCTAGCAGAGCGGCACCACCCACCAGTCCAGAGCAGAAGGCAGCAGCAGTGGGGGAGACCGAGTCACGCATGGCACTTGATCGATACAAGGGGAGATGAAGAGTGATCAAATGCTAAACTCTTGACAAGCACATCCGATTGGGCCTTCGTCTCATCAAAATGGTGAGATGGCAAGGTGTGTAGGTCCATCTGTTTGGTCACGCTGTTTGGTCCCGTGAAGTCACGCCAGTCGCGATGATAATTTGAAGTTGCTATCCTGGATACCGCCGGGCTTTGGCCGTATGACACTTGTATTTGCTGTAGTCCTACTTGATGTCGGAGGTCCTGTGCGCTGGCTGGACACTCTGGATGCCCCCAAGTTTGTCGTTACAGCCTGCCCGTCAACAAGGTTATCGATAAGCCAGCCTCAGTGTAAGCGGCATTGCTGTTATTGAAAACTGGGCATGGATTGTGTGACACCAGCGCAATTGGTCACGTCGGTGTGACGTGATATTGATGATACAGTATTAGTACTGTAATTGTTTTTACGTACCCAGGGTACGCGGGTTACGTTTGAGTTACACAACTCCCAATCGCGGGTTACGTTTGAGTTACACAACTCCCAATCATGGCGACCGAGGAAGAGAACGAGGAGTTCGCCTACTCTGCAGGCGAGCTAGACGACGAAGAAGAGGACGACGTGGACTGGGAGGACGTCGGTCCGTCTCAACAGCCTTCAGACCCCTTGGTAACCCAACCAGACGCAGCCAACTCCCCCTCAGTGGCCAACAAACCCGCCTCACAAAACGACAACGAACCCGAAGATGAACCCGATGAACCAACACAAAACTTGCAGCAAATTGACTGGGAGCAGGTGAATCGGTCGCTGGCAGAGCTGAATGCAACTACACTTAGTCGTAAGAGGCGACGACCATCCATTCGCCTCACAAAGGACGAGAAACAGCGAGAGAAGGCGCTTCACCAGACGCATCTACTGGTTCTGTTAGCTACGCGCATCAAATGGACGCAACTCAGTCGCTCACAACTGCTACAAGGACTTCTCCTGTCTATTACGGCTACCAGCGACATTGATTTCCTCGCTGACATGAAGCAGCAGCCTATTTCGTACTCGTTGGAGCTGCTGGTTCGGTGGTTTACTACAGAATTTCAACTGAATGAGGAGGTGGGGGGCGATACGATAGAAGGCGAACTTATGACAGAGTCAAGTCTGATGAACGTTTTCTTCGCTCGAGTTGGACAAGACTATGAGCTGGCCGTGCTATTTGCTGCCTTGTGTGGAGCGCTGCAGCTGCGCTATCGCCTCACGTGTGCACTTGACCCGTTGCTGGTGCAGAGAGGGAAGGCGTTCGAGTCGTCATTCAAACAGAGGCCGACTAAGCGACGACGAGCTCAAACAGTGGCAGATAGATTGAAGAAGAAAGCGCTATCAGATGACGCAGAGGAGAAGCGGGAAGTCGACGAAGAATTGGAACCAGAGAGAACAGATAATGTTCATCGAGTGTTCTGGTTGTGGTGCGAAGTGCTGGATGAGAAGAGCAATACTTGGATTCACGTCGATCCAGTGCGTCGACTAGTCAATCGACCGCAAGACGTTGAGTCGCTAAGAGGCAAAGCCGCACGATTCTCGTACGTGGTGAGTATCCAGGACGACGGATTGGTTGTGGATGTGACATCTCGATATACTGCACAGTGGAGTAAGAGCCTGGAGCTTCGTCTTGCAGACTCGTGGCTGACACAAGTGATCGAGCAATTCAATGAGGATACAATGGACCAGCGTCCTGTAGATAAAACATCAAGATCTGGTAACGTGGAAAAATCTATTGTAGAAGAGAAGAAAAAGCTGGAGACATTGAAACTGGCAGAAGGAATGCCAACCAGTCTGGAAGGATTCAGGAAGCATCATCTGTATATTCTAGAACGCTATCTTGGCCAGTTCGAGTGTCTACACCCGCGTAAAGCGATCGGACTATTCAAAGGCCAGCCAGTATTTCTCCGTGAACATGTTCAGCCACTCGAGTCCGCCTTCAAGTGGCGTCGTCTCGGTCGAGAAGTCAAGGAGAGTGAGCGTCAAAAGCCCGCAAAGTGGCAGTCCAAAGGCAACGATAACGACGACAGTGACGCCTCTGAAGAAGGAAAACCTAGTGGATCACTGGCGCTCTTCGGACTGTGGCAGACGACCGAGTTCGAGCCTCTTCCGATGATAAATGGCCATATACCCAAGAACAAATACGGTAACATTGAGATCTGGAGTCCAGCCCATATCCCTCGAGGTGCTGTACATCTGCGCCTTCCTCGTATTGACAGCATCGCCGAGTCATTGGGTATTGACTTTGCGCCTGCAGTTGTGGGCTTCGAGGTGCGCAATGGCCGCCCAATGCCAAAAATGTCGGGGATTGTGGTGGCACAGAGTCACGAGGAGATGCTACTGGATGCCCATGCAGAGAGACAACAACAGACTATTGAGAAGGCCATTGCGCATAACCAAAAATTGGTACTTAAGCGCTGGGAGAATCTCACCAAGAGGTTGTTGCTACGTCAGAGACTGGAAGATGATTACGGTGCGGTCTAAAGTTGACGCTTTTCAATACACACTTCTTTCCGGGACACAGTCTGCCCAATTGCCATAAAATTGACATTTTACAATTTACAAATGCATCCTCCGTCCTGAAATGAGTTGAATTTCGACATTTGGACCTTGTTGTCATTCCTGGACCCGCCGGACGAAGCCTAAGCGATGAAGCGCCTGGCCTCTTCGCTGCCCAGGCATTTGCGACGCAGTGCCGCCTTCAGTACACGCGCTGAATGGAAGCGCCAAGTGGCTGAAGGGCCGAGACTGCAGGATTTCCTCTCGAGCAGTCGAACACGTGTTGATTCCAGTAGTGTAGTAGCCCAAGAGAAGGTGTTTCACCCCGAAGAATCATTGCAACAGATTCACCAGATCTTGGCAGAGATCCGTCAAGCGGTACGGTAAAAACACCTTTGTATAAACCACAGGAAGGCGTGAAATGTGACGGTGTCGCTGTGAATGTGTGTGCAATAGCCACGAAAGGAGACAGCGCAATTGGTGGACCGGTTCGGACGAGCGCACACTTATCTGCGTATATCACTGACCGAACGCTGCAATTTGCGCTGTCGATACTGCATGCCAGAGGACGGAGTGCCGTTGCAGCCCACTGAGGACCTTTTAACCACATCGGAGATCATCCGATTGGCCAAAGTGTTTGCATCCGCAGGCGTCACGAGAATTCGACTGACAGGTGGTGAGCCTCTGCTTCGACGGGACTTAGTAGAACTTGTAGCTCAATTGCGAGCGATCCCTGTTATCGAGTCGGTGGGCATCACTACCAATGGTATCACACTGCAGAGGAAGCTACTGGCACTGCAACAGGCAGGTGTGGATAGACTGAATATCAGCTTGGACACGCTGAAACCAGACAAGTTCGCACACATCACAAGACGCCAGGGATTCACACGAGTCATGAACTCAATACTAGAAGCACAGACGCTAGGCTTCTCCCCACTCAAGATTAATTGTGTGGTACAACGACACTTCAATCTGGACGAAATCCTAGACTTCGTGGCCTTCACAGAGAAACACACAGTGGATGTGCGTTTTATTGAGTGGATGCCGTTCGATAGCAATCGATGGAATGATGAAACCTTTGTACCATTCAAGGAGATGATGGGGCTAATTCGGACTCAATTCCCTACAGTGGAAAAGCTACAGGACGGAGCAAATGACACGTCGAAAGCTTTCCATGTACCTGGATTTAAAGGTCAGTTTGGCTTCATCACGTCTATGAGTGAGCACTTCTGTGGCTCCTGCAACCGACTCCGTCTGACTGCCGACGGGAATTTGAAGGTCTGTCTGTTCGGTAATACCGAGGTCAGTTTGAGAGACGCGATGCGCTACAATATTGCAGATAAAGATATTCGTGACATTGTCGATGTGGCAGTCAAGCGCAAGAAATACGCACTTGGCGGACATGGAGATATGTATGGATTGTCAAAGGCGAAGAACCGCCCCATGATTCTCATCGGAGGGTAGTCGAAATGGGTTAGAGTGGACGCTATGTTATCATAAAAACCAGATTTTAACCAGAATCGAATCCGGAGCGTCGCTGATATTTGCTCGACTTATTCAGCTTTCGTCGGTAGATCTTTGATCAAGTTCGTAGGTGTAATGAGGGCTTTTTCCAGCACACGATTCACATCCTCGAGATTGCCAAGTACTCGAAGCAACGTCGTTAGCAAGTCCATTTTCCAGTCCAGCTGCGTCACGCGCCCGGCCGAATCATCCCATTGAAATCGCAATGAACACCGACAGTCGAGTCGGCGACCGAGCAGGCGAGTCCACAGCACAGCGTGTTCTGTGCCAAAGCCGGTATGTTCAGCACCAGAAGTTGCTAACAGATGCGGGAATACATGCCGCAACGAGGTTTCTGTGATGGTAAAACTGAAAGATGCAGTTGCCACTAAGGCTCCAAAAGGCTGTTCTTCCATCCCTTTCAGTTGGAAATTGAGATTTCCAAAGTAAGTTGAATAGCGCCGCCACTGTTCAATAAGAGCGTCAACGCCACTCTGTTCTCCGATCACAATGTCTGGTGACATCGCAGACCGAAGAAACCATTCTTGGTCTCGGAGATTGGATGGATTGGGCTCACTCATTGGCGCGAGATATCCGTAGCGAAAGAGGCGAAAGTATTCAACCACGGCATGCCAAATGTTGTTCTTGGTTTGGACGCCATAGCACAGCGTGTGACGCGTCGCAGACAAGTTCTGCACTTCTTCTCGCAGTTGTTCGACACAATCTTGGAGCTCGTGGATAGATTCGCGTTGTCTTGTTCGGTATCGTGCTTGGTTGTTACGGCATTGCTCGCGTCGTCGTTGAGTTTGAAGTCTCTTGCGCCTTGGTTTGATTATCGTAGAGTTGGAGATTGCACAAGATGCCAAAACTGACATTTGCTCAGATTGAGCGCCATACAACTCGGTCAGATCACGCTTTTGAGTAAAAGCAGCAGCAAGACGTCTAGACGAGGCTTCCAAAGCTTGGGCCAGAGGCAGATGATGCCCACCTTCTGGGTGTGTGTACGTCTTGGAGCTAGGTCCAAATTCGCGGTTACTGCTCTCAAGTACGAGCATCGTCCGCTGTTGAATCAACAAGTTGTGATACGCTTGTTGATGGCTGGTGAAAACTTTGTGTGAGGTGGGAGAACGAAGGCCCAGGTGATCAAATTACTGTATTTGACAGTGGACACCATCGCAGCGACCGATTTGTTGACGGCTTTCATGAAGCAATCCGCAAACTAAAAAGTTTCAGCGATCGCGTGAGCCGATTTAGTTGACGGAAATTGCTTCGTAATCGTCATTAACGATTCGCCAACTTACCTTCGATGAGTGTGATACATGTAGAATTGTCCGTATACATGTACATGAAGGATGTAGAATCTACAAATGAAACCAGAGGTGACAAGCCAAATAAAATTGGAGTTGTTTTTAGACCATCTCTATTCCATCGATCATAAAAATAAAAGAGTTCACAATCTTACATGTATACCTAATCTGAACTAAAAAGACCAGTTTCTGACAATGTCGGTAATTATGATGCACAGATCTAAATGGCTTACCTAAACAGTCGAAGTTGCATTCCCCCAGCAGTAAAACGGCGAAAACTTACGCTTCGCTGGAGGATCTCTAAAGCGCGTTTTACGCAGTGTCCTCCGTACGCCTCAGCTCAATTGATACACATGAATTCAATTGTTTGAAGGCTGTCATTTCGGAACCTCACGAAGTCACATGGCCCACGACCAATCCATCACGAAAAACTGACGCTGAGACACGCCCCCTGCTCCTCGCTCTGTACGAAGAACTTCGAATCCATCCTCTAATGTGAACGTTAACTTCTTGATTTTTTCCTCGAATGCAGACAAATTTTAACGTGGTAGAGTAAGACGGATGTCGAATGACGAGCGAAATTCATGGAACCAAGATGTACTGGGAAATCTTTACTTTGAATTTTATATCTACTGCATGGTGCAGCCAAAGCATTTCATCGAGCTACGGTTGCACGAATGAGAACCGCGACGGCTGCTGTCGAACGTTATCAAGAGGATAATGGAGTGACGTTGGGACCAATTATATTAAACCACGTTGTCACTACGCATGCCAGACAACCCGACAATAAAGACATCACCATTTCAAGTGGCAATACACTTCGTAAAAAAAGAAACTAGGGCTGAGGCGGGGGCTGGGATAGCATCAGGTCACGGAAGCGTTATTGGCAAGAACGTTGAAAGCGCTCCTCAGTTGTTCACCGATCAAACCGCCTGGAGAATTGGGTTAAAGCACGAAAAGGATAAGCAGTTTTTCGAGTAGCAAGGTCTAAAGTAAAAAAAATAGTTGTTGCTTAGCTCCTTTCCACTGTTTACTAATGGAGCACTTGCGGATGGAAACGTTTCTTGGACGTTTCCAATATTCGCACATTTCTGGATAAGCAGCAGAATAAGCTCCAGCGAGATGATGATGTCCGTAACGCATGAGGACTAGTCACTTGACATCGTACTTATGAGAGAAGTCGCTGTTAACCAGGGGCATCTTTGGGGAGATAGGAGGGGGGGG